GGTGGGGGGTAAGAAGAAGAAGAAGAAGAAGAAGAAGAAGGAGAAGAAGAAGAAGAAGAAGAAGAAGAAGAAGAAGAAGAAGGAGAAGAAGAAGAAGGAGAAGGAGAAGAAGAAGAAGAAGGAGAAGAAGAAGAAGAAGGAGAAGAAGAAGAAGAAGAAGAAGAAGAAGAAGAAGAAGAAGAACTAGAACTAGAAGGAGAAAGAAACAGGGGCTATGGCTACGAGAAGAAGAAGAAGACGAAGAAGAAGAAAAAGAATAACTAGAAGGAGAAAGAAACAGGGACTATGGCTATGGCGACCACCGGGGTGAAGAAGAAGAAGAAGAAGAAGAAGAAGAAGAAGAAGAAGAAGAAGAAGAGGAAGAAGAAGAAGAAGGAGGAGATGGCTTGGCTATGGCTACCAGAAGGGGAAGAAGGAACACAAGGAGATGAAGAGGAAGGAAATGATGAGGAGAGGATGAAGAAGATGAAGAAGAGGAGGAGAAGAAATAGAGTTAGAGAAGAAGAAGACGCAGAGGAGGAGAAGAAGAGTAAGAGGCGGAGGTAGGATAGGGGTTTAAGAAATGATGGCGGGTGGGGGTGGTGTCTGTGTCAAATGCAGTCACTGTTCTACCGTCTTCACCCGAATAGAACGCCCGGTCATTATACCTGTATTTGGTGCAACTTTCGATCCAGATGCAGCGATTATGACCGAGCGTTGTCTTCGGGCGAAGATGGTAGTCAACCCCTAAGACCTACCACCAGGCCCAAGAGGGCCCGTGTGGTCCACACCACAGCTCTCAGGCTTCAACCACCCGGGCCTGGAGGCGCTGCACTGCTCGCCAAGCTGTTCGGAACCGCGAGTGGGGGGGCTCAATTCTTTTCTTCTTCTTTGCTGGCACCGCCAGCGTTTGTCGTGCCGGAGGCCCAAGCCGCAAAATTTTGCGGACTACCAGAGAGACGACCAAATTTCTCCAAGGCTAGGGACGCGTACTGGTGGATAAGAAAAGACTTGGAAATCTCACCGTCACATACACTCTTCTGGGACCCTCCGGGCACAATAGACTCCGTTCTTTTTTTTTTTTCTTTTTTTTTTTGGGGGGGGGAGTACTTCCAACTGCAAAATCTTTGCAAAACAGATCAAAGGCAAAAATTTTCTATGCAAAAAAAAAAGAAAAAAAAAAGAGCACATTTCTCAGACTGAGCAGGTCACATCACATTTCCTAATCGTGCGACTAATCGTGGCGCACCGATTACAGTCCCAACAATCCCCTGCAGGTGTATTCTAGCCATGCTGCTCACCATCACCATCACCCTCGCCATCACCATCGCCATCACCATCACCATCATCACCACCATCATCATGATGCCAATTGTTGTTTAGGGAATCAGTTTTGCTAAGTCCTACCTTTAAAATAGTCATGCTTATTTAAAATATATATATATTATATATATATCGTCACAAACAGAACTGCCCGGTAAACCGTAGGCAGAGAGAGAGAAGAGGACAACAAACGAGGGGCTGTGACAAACTGATTCGTCGGAGTTTCAGCATATATAATTAAAAAATATATATATATAATTAAAAAAAAAAAATCATGGTCTTTCAACCCTCATTGTTTATTAATTGAATTTAATTCTAGTCAACGCCATGCGAATTAGTCGTTGGTCCAAACACGATGACCACCACTCAATCATTTGCAAAATTGCGATCGTCCGAATCGGCAGGTTGTCATTCAATCACGAGATTAATTGTTCCCATCAACAAGAATTACTCAAGCAAGGATTGGGATCGGGACACGAAGACTCACTTACAGTTGTACTTGGAGTCATGACCAATAACGTTGTCGTTCTCGTCAACAAGAATACACCTGCAGGGAGAGAGGGAGGGAGGGAGGGAGAGAGGGAGGGAGAGAGGGAGGGAAGGAGAGGGAGGAGAAAAACAACACAAAACAACAATGGTCCGTTCCATTTTATTATTAACTAGAAAAATTAGCAAAAAAGTTACATCATGCTGCCTACCTACCTACCTACCTACCCTGAGGTATACCCAAGCTAAACCTCAGGGTTTACCTCAGGGTTAAGTCAGGGTAGAGCCTAACCCCTAGCAAGGGATGGAAGGGGGGCAAGGGCAAATCCCCTACCAAGGCAAAACCAGGGCCGGGGGGGGGGGGGTTGCGGAGGAAGCCAACTGTCTCACTTGGGGAACCCGAAGCATGCTGCAGGCGCCGTGGGGAATCCGAACCCACGACCTCCTGAATGGATACTGCATGACGTGGGGAGCCGAACCAACGACCTCCTGAATGCAACTTGTGTGCTCTCTACCAACTGAGCTAAGCCTTTGGCCCGGCCCGGCCCAACATTCTTTCACGTCGTGGCCTTCCCACAAGTCCCACAAGTCCCACAAGTCCCATTCTGAAAAGTGCCAGGGGAAACTGATCGTTTAAGAATCCGTCTGACATTGCCCTTGCACAAGGTCAGCCAGGGCATCTCTCCCTCTTCCTAGGTTTCTTTCCCCCCAGCACAGGGAGGAGGAGGGGTACAAAGTACAGGGTTCCGTAGGGCAGGTTTTTTTTTTTTTTTTTTTTTTTG